TGATTAAATTGACAAATTTAGAATATTTATAACTGAATTGACATACATATAATAAATTTAAAACTGATTAGACAATTTTCTCTCCACATTCACGTGTTCGTGGCGAGATGTTCGTGACGTCTCCATTGATATTTACTTGACCGGTATTAAAATCAAAATTATAGCCAGTTGGTTGAGTTTGTGTAGTGATGTATGTTAATTAAGTCTGGTGGGTAAAAATTTAGAATCACCCTGGCGAACGACAAATATATTCATCAGGCATTTTAGAATATCTTGAAATTTTGTAAAATTGATTCCCCAATTCCTATGTCATAGTCATCTTGTTAGTCGTTCTAAAGCCGAGGTTTTTAGCTCCTAACCTTTTGTATCTTTTGTGATTTTGATTATTGGCGTTCATTCGCTTTGAATATTAACCACAATTTCGGCACTTGACCGATTGAATCACCACATAATTACATAAATCAGCGAGTCGGGTGGTGTCTAAATCGGCAATTGCGCACTTTACCAATCCACCTCTCCTGGCGTGGCGATCTTAAGAACGCACTCTCCTGTTATGTATATGTAAAGACCGAAAGTTCACCGTCAATCTAAGCCAACTAATCAATACCGTGGGAATCCTTCGAAAAAGTCAACGAACAGAGAACTTACAAAAGATTTAGGGTTAATACCACGAAAAACTCTAAACTGGTACACTTGTGACACATTTACCCCAAACTATTTTTTTGATCATAAAAAACCCCAAACTGGTACACCTGTGACAATTTTACCCCGAACATACCACAAAAAACCCAAAACTGGTACACATGTAACAATTTTACCCAAACTAATTTTTAATATTATTTTTTTGAATTTTTTCTTTTCTTTTCTTTTCTTCACTTCAACCTTTGGCCGGTCGCCGGTCCGGCGACCGGCCAGAGGCGGAAGCCGGCGAGGGCCGCCCTCGGCAGCCGCTGGCAAGGGCCGCCCTCGCTCGACTCAGGAAGGGCGACCCTCGCCGGATCTAGCGAGGGCGGCCCTCGCCGGATCTAGCGAGGGCGGCCCTCGCCCGCCCAGCGAGGGCCGCGCTCGCCCGGGCCGCCGAGGCGCCCCTCGCCCGACGCAGCGAGGGTCGCCCTTGCCTCGAGCTCTGGCGAGGGTCGCCCTTGCCTCGGGCGGGCGAGGACACCCTCACTGACGCCGGCGAGGGCAACCTCGCCCAACGCAGCGAGGGTCGCCCTCGCTGATCCGGCGAGGCGCCCTCGCCGATACCGGCGAGGGCAACCCTCGCCTGAGTCGGGCGAGGATCGCCCTTGCCCTGGGCGGGCGAGGACGGTCCTCGCCCGATACCGGCGAGGGTCGCCCTCGCCGGCTTCCGCCTCTGGCCGGTCACCGAACCGGCGACCGGCCAGAGGTTGAAGATAAAGAAAAAAAAAATAAAAGGAAAAAATAAAAAAATAAATAAAAATTCGAAAAAAATAAAAAATAATATTAAAATTTTAATTGAGGGCAAAATTGTCACGTATGTACCAGTTTGGGGTTTTTTATGGTCAAAAAAATAGTTCGGGGTAAAATTGTCACAGGTGTACCAGTTTGGGGTTTTTTATGGTCAAAAAAATAGTTTAGGGTAAATGTGTCACAAGTGTACCAGTTTAGGATTTTTCGTGGTATTAACCCAAAGATTTAACACATGCAGTATCAATGCAATAACATCTTATAGAAACATCATAGGCGTCCACACACCCATCTGTTCCGCACGTTATCTCGCACAATGGGCCATTAATAAAGGCATCCGTGTAGGTGAATTCCCAACCAAAATGCCTTACGAATTTTGGACCGGCGAGGGGCAGACACTAGCACGTGAAAGGACCTGTGATCCAGCTGTATATGCCAAGCGACAATTATTTGGTGAATTTAGTTCGACAAATGATCCAGCACATGCAAGCCCGACACATTTAGGTTCTCGAATGTTGATGGATACCATATGAGATTTGTACATATGATTTAAAGATCGGGACATTCTGGACCGGCACGCACCAGACATATCTAAGAATGCCTCGGTTAACTGAGGACGGAGGATGGAGTTCGGCGCCACATACGAAAGTACCAGAGATTTGCCTCTCAATCGAGCCCTCCTTAATTTCCCTCTTGTTTTCATTCCAATTTCTCTTCTTCTTGTTTCTCAATTTATTAAATTAGGTGAACTCCACACATCATACGTACGATGTGATGCCTCACCACAAATTATGAGGAGGACCCGACCGGGCATTGCATGTATTGCAAGGCCAATTTATGGCGATCAAGCTGTGTCGGCGGTCGACTTCACATGCGTTGGACTTCTGGTGCGAATTTGAGGGTAAAGATTGTCTTTCCTCCATTTTCAAAAGAAGAAGGAAATGGAAAAATATAAATATAAATAAAAAAACATAAAACGCGAACTGAAGAGGCAATAATGAAATTCTTGCAAGGTGCTTTGTGGTTTTCTGAGCCGCACAGACCATAAGATAGTTTTCAGGGTTCTGTGCTTAGTTAGTGTAATCCCAAGACTAGTGGGCGACTGGAAAGATGCTCTTGAGCCTATGTACTTCCATGGTCCCCTTGACGAAACATGAATAGCCCCTAGGAGAGATTCGAGCCCATGTCAATCATAGAGTCCATACATATTTTGACCTCGAGTGTTGGCCCGGTAGGCAAACGAAGTTTGGATGCTAATCGACGAGGGAGGCGGGTCTCGATCGGGTCCCGGTTTGACATACATCTTGGCCGGCCTTTCTGATGAACTTAGACAGGTGCGCTCGAACCTAATACCCGAAAATTAATCTATAAATACATGAGAGAAGTGACGAGATGCGGGTTTGAATTGTGTTGGAAAAATCCTACATCGGAAAACTGATATGGGGTTGAGTATTTTATATATTATAGTTGACTCATAATTTATTGACATAAGTTTTGGGATAAAGTAAATCCAACTAGATATGTTGATAGACTCAAATTTGGATTTCGATGAGGGTATGAAGTTTATGTTGTGATTTCCCAATATATGGTTGGGTCTGGTTTGGTTCGAGACACGTGTAAGTTATATTATACCAGTTTCAACTCTCTCTCTTGGCTTCTGCTGCGAGCTCCCGACCAGAAACGATTAACAAACCTGTATCAAGAATTCTTGATATTTTCGTCACCACGCCTTTCTTCAATCATCGCCTTAGACCTTGCATTTTCCGCTTAAGTCTCACCTATCCCCCAAAACGTGACCAGCAATTTTTCTTTTAATTACCTAATGCTGCTCGACAATGTCCACTTGCACTCGTTCCTAACAACGCCGTTTATCATAATCAAAATTCCAAATAGAGTGAATGGGGAGATTCGAAAGTGACGACTTTTTTTTTTGGTCGGTCCTATTCTATCTCTCACTCACGATACACACTCAGACTTACGCCCCACCTCTTACAGGGCGTGAGCGTCGAAACCCACATCTTAAACTACGCGGCCCCACCCCTTCCCCCGCTGCGAAGGTGGGGATTCGAACTCCTCACTTCCCCCTAAATCACTGGGGGTTTACCCCAGTGGCCACCCTTCTCGAAAGTGACGGCTTTACCATACGAATAAACGCTCGATTCAGACCATGAGGTGTCAGTCGTCTTGTGGCCATAGGCCCGCTCGAGCCAAATGAACCCGAGCAGTTCAAAAGAGGATTGAGAAAAGGCATTGTAGCTACAAAAGCCCGCTACAGTCAAGTTAGTAGAGACCAGACTGGATCATCATGGCCCGACGAGCCCACGGTCCGGCGATCGATCATCTAGGCCCGCATCGCGATCGCCTCCAATCGACGCTCGATGCTCGACGACATAACGGATTTCGAGAAATGCGGGCACGGGCACGAGCCCCGACGAACCCGACTTTCGTGCAGTCGACGTTACGAGCCTCGTGACCCGGAGAAACTCGTTATTATTTCAGGTCTTACTGCTGTGGTGTTTCGACTCTTCTCATGGCAAAAGTTAAAAACTCCGAATTAGCTGATACACACATCTGGATCGCCTCCTCACATAGAAGTCCCTCCAAGCATGGAATGCATTTCATGTTAGAAGAGACCCCCAGCGAATCGGATCATATACGTCGGAAACTCGCTATCATAACAGCGTCGCCGTCGACCCATCGAGCTTTATCTCGCTAAGCGGGCGTCGGCCGAACCTGAAATATCTCCGGGCGGAGCAATGCTACTTCTTCCCACCTGAGACAACGGTTTTGTGGGGAGACTTTGAACTGTTTTCCACCTTTGGATGGATGAAGCAGCAGCAAGACAAACCCACAGCCACAGAGAGTTCTCTTATTCAAAAGCTCCGGAAACTCGTCGAGGCTAGCTTCGTTCGCCGTCCAAATCGGCCCGGACTCACGGACAAGTTGAGGCAACAATTGGCCGTGAACAAGACCACGGCGGCCGGGCGACAATTGTTGTCAAAGCAGAGGAGAACATCCTCATCCATCGACCCCCGTCTCCCGCGAGGATCGACGCTCCGCCGGGCTCCTTTAGCTCTCCGATCCCTCATCGGGCCGGAAGGAACCGCAGTAGAGAAAGCCGCGGATATGCCGATCCGATCTCTCGTCCGGGAGGAGCATCCGATGGCGCTGCCATTTCAATCCCGACTCTGGAAGAACTCTGCAGTTCAACAACTGTTACTGTTACATCCCGGCTTCTGGGCAATCCAAACGAGAGATAAGATAAGCGAGATTCCACCAAAGGTTGATTGGCCCAAAAGGATTAAATTTTAATAAAAAAAAAGAATAGAAAAAATAAAATTAACGAGATGTTTACCGGACAAATTCACGCACAAAAAAGAATAATTAAAAATTAATGACGTCATTAGCGTGTTCTTTTTCTCCTCTAATTATCGCGTAGATAAATGGCAGAGAAATTAGCGAATAAAGACGATAAATTCGCTAATTTTATATATAATATATTGATTAATTAATTAAATAAATTCCATTTTCGGGTAACCCAACCAAAGTATCTGAGCTCGACCAAAACTCTCATATACTTACACGCACTCTTCTGCTTCTTGCTTTTTGCATAGCTCGGCTTCCATCTCTATCCCCGCAGCGAATCGCAGAACGAGAAGACGGCGACGGCGACGGCGACGGCGACGAAGATGGGAAGGGCTCCCGCTCGAGCCGCGGCGTGGCTGTTCTTCGCCCTCCTCCTGAGCTCCTCTGCGCACTCGTTCTACCTTCCGGGCGTCGCTCCTCGCGATTTCACCACCGTACGCCCCCCTCTCTCTCTCTCTCTCTACCTCCCGTCTCCGTCTCCCTGCTTTCCCGATCGTTTCTCATTGCTCTCTCGCTCGATCCGTCGGCCCCTTCGCGGCTCCTGATCCTTGCGGCGCGCTGTTCGCGTTCTGTCGATCTTGCCCCGAGTGCTGCTCGGGCTTGGAGTTGGATCTAGGGTTTTGGGCTCGATTCGCGCTGCGTGCTTGCGTGTCTGCCGATCGTCCCTAGATCTAGGATTTCTTGTTGCGGTTGGTGTGGTTTTTGGTGCTGTGTTGGAGGTTCGTGGCTTTGATACGTCCTTTCCACTCTTCGTCGGGTGAAGTAGCCGTACATCGAGCCTGTGACGTGCTTTAGCGCGGTAATTTGAGCAATCGCTTGATGATTGATGGTCGGTGGTGTCAAGATTATGACATATTAAGTTTTCGATTGTTGATCTTGTAAATCAACCGAAGAACGTGAAGCATGAGTGAGGGTGGGCAAGTTGAGGGAGGGTGTAAAAAGCACGGAACGGCAAGCAGGGAGAAGGAGATGAAGTTGTTATTGAACGGACATTAAGTTCCATAACATCGAAACGGTTGTTTACAGTCTTGAGGCATTTTCGCACTAAATTGGATGAGGGTTGTGCACTAGCAGATGGAGACTGTTGCTTGGATGAGATAATTCTGGCTCCAAAGAGGGGTTCTGGTGGTGAATGATGTGTTCGACTCTAGGAGGATGATGCATAAGTGACCCCTGATAATGCTGATGGCAGTAGCATGTGCTGGCGGTGATTATCTTGTTTTCTAAGTAGTGAAAAGTTTGAAGTGATGGGCGCCTTACGAGATGTGCCATGGAGATCTGTTGATGGCCTACTTACAGCCATGTAACCGGTCACAAGCATGAGACATAGCTACAGAACGTTTGATTTATAGCTTGGATTCTTGAGAGAACTTGATCTTGTTTTTTCATAAGCTGACCAATTCCCTTATGCATATCGCGTGGTCCCTCTGTTTCTGAATGAATGTTAAAAAATTTGACTTTAAGACATTGGAATCCAGGAACTGTCTCTATTTGGTAATAACTTGTATTTTATGTGACATTAGAAGCCATATATGGGCATTTGACTCATAATCTTGTCATATTCTGAACAGGGGGAAGAGCTTACTGTCAAAGTGAACAAATTGTCATCTACCAAGACACAGCTTCCATATGATTACTACTATTTAAAGTACTGTAAGCCTGAGAAGATTCTGAACAATGCGGAAAATCTGGGAGAGGTACTTAGGGGTGACCGTATTGAGAATTCTGTGTACAAGGTAAGCATCTTCTGGCTTTTTCTCTGTGCATCATACCGAATGATAAATCAAATACTATCCTTGTATGATGGTGGATATGTCGATTGATTTTTTATATATGCTCCCAGTTTCGAATGAGGGAGGAGGAACCGTGCAAAGTGGCCTGTCGATCGACTCTTAACACTGAGTATGCCAAGAACTTTAAGGAGAAAATCGATGATGAATATCGAGTAAATATGTAAGTATTTCGTGCCTAAAATTTTGCTGAAAGTTAAGTGAGAATAAATTCCTAGAACTCAGGGCTACTTGTTGTCTGGTTGAGCTGGGCCTTCTTCGGTTATTGTGGTCCAATATTGAGTGACAATCTGTTCTGCTAAAATATCAGGTTCTTTCTATGATCAGATTTAGTACGAATCATTTGTGATGGCAGGATCCTTGATAACCTTCCAGTGGCTGTTCTAAGACAAAGGAGGGATGGGAGTCCATCAACCACTTATGAACACGGTTTCCGTGTTGGATTTAAAGGAAATTATGCTGGGGTAAGTATCGGATCAAACTACAATGAAGCACACTTTGGCCTTATAGGTTGACGATATTTTTGTCGGTTTATTTCAGAGCAAAGAGGAGAAGTATTTCATCAACAATCATTTGAGCTTTAGAGTCATGTTTCACAAGGACGAGCTGACTGATACTGCAAGAATTGTTGGATTTGAAGTCACTCCTAATAGGTGTGGCTTTGTCTCTCTCTGTCTTCAACGAGTTGTATGTTTACTTCTTTCTAAGGTTTAGTTGTGCAACCATTAATTAATTAAAAAGTTTGGAGTCCTTTTGCCCAGGAAGGAGATATTACGTAGGAAGAAATGAGGAAGACCAAAGCTGGCTCATTGATTACCTTAATATTTTGGAAAGGATCTTTTGCAATGTTCAAGCATCTCTGTAGTTCCCCACTATTGTCATCGATCATCATTGTGAGATGCATCCTAAAGTTTGATTTCATGTCGGTTTTTCTGGGAGCCATGGGTCTCATGTAGCTCTTTTGGAGGTTTGATGGGGATATACCTTTTTCAAACGCAATTATGCATCTTGGCTGTCCACAGGTTTTTGGGACATCCAGCAGTAATGACGCTTGTTTGTTTTGGCTTTAAACCAACCGAACAAATCACATTTGCCTTTCCCGCGCACAAATTATACATAATATGTGGATTTATATAAAATTAAGGAAAAAATTAAGGGCGATTCTAGTGCTACTATTTATGTTTTTAGAAATCCCAGTTGTTTAACGTTGGAGTAACAAAAGGCATTCCATGCCCACTATTTCTGTGCGTTATATGTTCGTTTTCATATTTTGCTTATGTCTATCTGTGTGGAATATTTCAATGCCATTTACTATTTTATTTGTCGAATAGTGGTAATTTGGTGCATTCTCACTTGGTATTTTGCACAGTATCAAACATGATTACAAGGAATGGGATGACAAAAATCCTCAAGTGACGACATGTAACGCAAATACCAAAAATTTAGTTCAGGGTAGCACTGTTCCTCAGGAAGTTGACACAGATAAGGAAGTTGTGTTCACATATGATGTCAGTTTCAAGGTACGTGCTTGTAAAATGATCTCATTGCATTGCTCTTTCTTTCGTTCTTCCAATTGCTTTATTGTTTTGAGGTTCTGAATTTTGTTTTGGTGTTTCTCAGGAAAGTGACATTAAGTGGGCATCTCGTTGGGATACCTACCTCCTTATGAATGATGATCAGATTCATTGGTTCTCTATCATAAACTCCCTGATGATTGTCCTCTTCCTTTCTGGGATGGTGGCAATGATTATGATGAGAACTCTTTACAGAGATATTGCAAACTATAACCAGTTGGAAACCCAAGACGAGGCTCAGGAAGAAACAGGATGGAAACTTGTCCATGGAGATGTTTTCAGGGCTCCTATCAATCCAGGTTTACTTTGCGTTTATGTGGGAACAGGTGTTCAGATATTTGCAATGGCTCTGGTGACCATGATTTTTGCTTTGCTGGGCTTCTTATCTCCTTCCAACAGAGGGGGTCTTATGACTGCAATGGTACTCTTATGGGTTTTCATGGGCTTATTTGCTGGTTACTCGTCGTCACGGTTGTACAAGATGTTCAAGGGCACTGAGTGGAAGAAGACCACCTTGAAGACTGCCGTCATGTTTCCTGGTATTCTGTTTGCTGTTTTCTTTGTGCTGAATGCCTTAATATGGGGGGAGCGATCGTCTGGTGCTGTGCCGTTTGGGACAATGTTTGCTCTTGTCTGCCTGTGGTTCGGTATTTCAGTGCCTTTAGTGTTTGTGGGTAGTTATTTGGGGTTCAAAAAGCCACCGATGGAAGATCCTGTGAAGACAAACAAAATCCCGAGGCAGATCCCCGAACAGGCATGGTATATGAAGCCGGTCTTCTCCATTCTCATTGGAGGAATTCTTCCATTCGGTGCTGTTTTCATTGAGCTGTTTTTCATCTTGACCTCAATATGGTTGAACCAGTTCTATTACATCTTTGGCTTCCTCTTCATTGTGTTCGTCATCCTTTTGGTCACTTGTGCCGAGATCACTATCGTGCTCTGCTATTTCCAGTTGTGCAGTGAGGACTACCACTGGTGGTGGAGATCTTACTTGACTGCTGGCTCATCGGCTCTCTACCTTTTCCTCTATTCAGTGTTCTACTTCTTCACGAAATTGGAAATCACAAAGCTGGTGTCGGGCATCCTCTACTTTGGGTACATGATGATCATTTCATATGCCTTTTTCGTCTTGACAGGGACGATCGGCTTCTATGCTTGCTTCTGGTTTGTTCGAAAGATCTACTCCTCAGTGAAGATTGATTAATCCAACCGCAGAATAGACTGCCGAATGAAACTTGGAAAGGGGGAAGCAGAAACTGCTACCTCTCGCGAGGGTCGCCACTTTGGTTTCTGGGAATTGACGTACTGAAACTCTAAATTCTGTTGATACTAGTGTAGGGCTACGGCTGGTTTGTCACCTCTATCGAAACTACATGAACCGGAAGATTTTGCCTGTACTTTATTATAGCCCTTTTTTCTCACCATAGATTTTCTTAGTTTATCAGCTGGTAATGTGATGAAAGTGTGTATGCGCCAAACGTTGGAACTCGGGGTCTGAGATTCTAATTTTGGCCAAGGAAGTGTCTGGTAGGTCCTTGATGCTTGACTCTTTTTTTGGCCTATATTCTTGTGCATGGCATGAATTGCGAAATATAATATCCTCTGCCGAATGCCGATGGTTAAAATGCCGTACAGTTACCGGAGACATTAAGCATGGTGTAGTTGTAGTAGGATGCAATACCCTCTCCTCCTTGACCAGAAATTGAGTGCTCCTAGACTCGGAGCATGGTGACTGTCAAAATCTTACAGAATCTTTCCATCGTTCCATGCCTAATGTTTTGGAGTCCTTGGTTCTCTTTCCAAATTATACTGCTTTAGCGCCGTGATTATATTGGCAAGTGGAGATGCTCTTGAAGAGCAATATGGATTTTATTTAGTGGATCAATACAGAGTTGCAGGATAGGCAAATAAGGTCCTTCCAGGTCTGTCCAATGCTTGAAAGTTATGTTATCTTACATCGACCATAACAAGTTAGGCACGCACCCGCCCGAATAAGGTCCTTCCAGGTCTAAAATTTCGTGATCGCTTCGCCACATGGTGTCTGACTGTCCCGAAGAATTCCACGACTCCCAGGAAGTCCCCCAAGGTTAATTGGACCATGTTGATTATCTCCTTAGGTAAGCGAGCACCATTATGGCCCGGGAACCAAACTTAGAGAATATATATTGCATTGGAAAAGAAAACCGGTCCCATTCAGCGCATTTCTTGGGTTTCTATGACTGTTATTGGCTGGAAACTGTTCAAACTGATTACTAGGTTTGGTTGACTCAACTCATGTCTGGATTCCCTCTCGACACATATGGCTGAAAGACTATCCTATCAGGAAGACCTACTTGCAGATTACAAAGAAACTGCAAGGAATGGTAACTATCGGGATCTACCATGCATCTTGACACAAAGATTGAATAGTCTTCAAATCGATAACTGATAACTCGGGAAGAAGAATTCCTAACAAGAAATTGAACAAATTTCCGCTTCAGAAATTAAATCCATTATTTGACCAAAAAAAATTTACATCCGTTGCAATGCTAAAAAGCTACTGGAAACAAGAGGCCTCCATTTCCTAATAACTAGTGCGCACAAAAACTACTGGAAACAAGATGCCTCCATGTTCCAACTCTGAAACTCATGCGCACAAGGACTCAAATTGATTTCGTCTCAATGTGCTTCCACCAAACTCCTCTGTATACTCTCCATCAGAGAACCAAAATCAGAGTAATTATAGCTTTTGTATACATGTTTATCTGCTTTCCCTTTGAGAATCTATGTGGGCTTTTACCAAGAGGCGTGTCCTTTATTTTCAACTTCGCCTCATAAAAAGCCAAAAAATGGTTCTTGGAGTGTGTGTCGATTCAGTTTACCCGAAAACCCAAATGTCGGGACTGATGTTGGTCTCGGTCTTCAATACAAATCTGGAATGAGACTTGGTTAATTTGTTAACTTTTGTAGGCCGTCAGCTGCAAACTGCCTCCACAGAGAGCTTCTTCATGATATTCGGACATGGATCTCCCCCAAATATTTCGGGATCTACAGTTACTGAGCATGAGTTCAGCCCCATGCAAGTCTGCAAGAACATCATGTATTATTAGAGAGCAATGGGCTAAACTCAAGATGCGCCAAGTCAGAAGTCGTAAGGCTACCAGACGCAATAATCAATACCATGAAACTCTCGAGACTCAAAATGCTTGGGAATGTTTTATTGTAAAATCTAGCGCATCACCAAGTTGAGTTCTCTCAGTACGTCGTGAAATGTAGTCTTATGGCCGTAGTATGCACGTGGAGGGGAACTTAAAATGCAACAGTAGTGATGAATGACTGGGAAGCATTTTTTAAGCAAAGTTTATCCAGGTGGCTCATGTTGCTGAGTAGAATATGGATGAGATCTCAATGAGAGAGAATGCATATGACATTAGAAAGTTTACCCTCTCAAAAACGTCATACGAGTGGAAGGCATGACAACTTCCTTGTTGGAAGCTTCCACAGGTCCCTTCTGGCGTTCCGAAGCTAGCAAACCTTATTGATGAGATCTTCTGACCTGGGGAACACCATAAATGCACTTTAGGCCTCAGGGGCTTGTTAACTTTGCCTGATGCTTGCATTTGCCAATTCATCAGGGTTGGTTGCCATTCAAAGATATCAGAACAGACACTGTCGATCTCTCTTTGGACCATAGAAATCCCATTTGGGTCCCCACCCCACTCTTCGAAAACAACCAACAAATTCCCAGTTGGATATAACCATGAACGAGGAATGTGATACCTGAAAAGTTTAGGCTATGATGAGCTTTCTCGACAATTTCATTTCTCCTCAAGGAAAAGTTAAGAAAGGACAATACTTTTTCTTACCATCTCTGTGAAGCCTCTCCGCAATTGCTTAAACATTTCGTCTCATCAAAAGTTCCGGTGTAATTACAGCTATTGCAATTGCCGGATGCTTTATATGCAGGCCAATAGCGCCCAAGACTCTGTCCATTTATCCATACTTGACCTTTACTCATACTGTCCATATCCAAAGCCAGCGGTGCACTTCCGCCTGGAGCATTGAAAATAGTCTGGAAGTATGATAAAACACTGAAGTCAATTTCTGTCACATTACTGTCAAAACAGACCAAACTACGAACGAGATATCATGTATTATCATATGAGATAGAACCATCAACCATGTATCTGTCTTATTTGAAGCCAAATCTGAAAAACTTCGCTAGAAAGGGAGATTGAAAGCATTTCTAATACTCATAATACAAACCACAGAACAAGAGTAATGGATGACACCAACCCTAGGCTAATTGAGAACTTGAGTCATCTTTCTTGTTTAAAGAGAATAGCTATCAAATATAAGGATGTAGGATTTGGATATGTGTGCAACTTTGCAGATGCCTATTAAATTATATGTCCTGGTTTGACCATAAGCATGAGTTTTGAATCCCATACAGTTCATTAACCTAGGAGGCTAGGAGGATATATCAGTTTGCTTTGCTGAACTTTGAGATACTTACCTTATACCACGTTAAAGGCTGTTTTTCTGCTACTAAAGATTCTTGTGCCCACTCAACTGACATACTCCCAGTAAGAGAATGAAGACTCAAAGCTTCTCCTTTGAGACCAACCTGAACCAACAGAAACCTTCAGCCGTTTCAGAGAAGAATGGAAAGATGATAGACAAGGAGAATTCGAGATACAGACCTTATAAGACCATTTCTGCCATGACAAGTCTCTCCATCCATCATTGAGACCACTTAACGTAACTGGACCGAGAATACCAGCATTCCATGTCTCAAAATGTACTCCAACATTCTGGAATCAAGTTGATGATCACAAGGCAAGAAAAAACTTGTATTCACTCACGCTGGACATAATCCTAGAAACAAGTGTGTGAACATCGAGCATGCAAATGCCAACACACCCACACCCACACACCCACACACACACACACCCATAGAGAGAGAAAGAGAGACCTACCGGTAGACCAACTGCGATACTTAGAAGTGAAATTTTGTTGGTCCCGGCTCTCAGCCTCACACCCTGACTGAAAGTTAGTTTAGGAAATTCCAGACTTCCATAGGTAGTTCCTGCATGAGATGAAGAAACATAATCATTGAAAAAAGCATAGTCTGCTTATAATACTCTTTTCACAAAGTGACAAAAAGAAAACTGAAAACTTTTGTTGGCTTCCACATGCAAGCAATTTTAAGATTCCATAAGCTCAAAGAGGTCAAAAAAGCACATATTAGTGCCCTAACATTTAAAACTATAAATCTTATGTGCTAGCATATCAACAATGAATTTGGCGCAAATTCTATTAGAATGGTTTTATTCGTATAATATTAATTCTTGAAAATTTCTAGAAACAATTATTAATGAAGGTCCTATTCTGCTGAACTGTGACATTAAGGCAATGCATAAATGATGATAAATCAATAAGAAGCCCCAATAAATATGAGCATATGAGTTACCTGCAAGTTCACCATTGACAAAAACATGCAGAGCATGACCAGCTGACAACACTGTGAGAACTGGATAACTTCCACTCTTCAGAAACTCTTCATTAGGATCGACATCGACACTGAAGAAAGTATGGGTATTGTATAAGAAAGGTAGACCAAATATGAGCTGATATTGATCCTCAAATTAAGACCGCAAGAGGTTGAGGTAATTCACTGTTTGTAGTCTACTCACTCTGTCATATACCACAAATAGTCAGTAACATCTCTGGTTGTATTTATTTGCTCCAACAACCCAGTCATTGTAAATATATTGTCTTCAAAAGCAGCGGTCCCTTCACTATAAACCTCCCAAGAGAATCCTCCATCCACTGGAGTCATCTTCATATGTGCACTTTGAGCCCCCACCTGTTTTTTAATTTCAGCAGACTTCAGTTGCATAAAATGCTGATTTTGTGTTTATATTTTTAAATAAATTTCAAAATATGACAATAGGAGATGGAGTAATAACATTAGACGCATGAAGATTTAGCATCAATGGATTATGAAGTATGCAATAGAACTTCTTTGACAATACATATCACTGCCTAGTGAGTGCAATGTAATGCTACACAAAGAAGTTGATATAATTTGAAATGAACACAACCCTCGCAACTGCATTAACTTCATCATATACTCCTTTCTCTTAGGCTAAAAGAGGAAAAATGGAGGAGGAAAAGAATAGGAGAAAGGGCATTTTGTTCTCTCACCCGTGCAGTGTTATATACTGTGTTATTGCAATCAGGCAGTATGCTGATGGACCAAGGAGGAAGGTTATAATGCTTGCTCCCAAAAGAAACTTTAGCATAAGACCACCGATCGTAGTTTGCAAGGAATGCTGCACATGCTCCAGAATCTGATTTAAAGACATGAGCCTGTAGTAAGCAGTAACATAATCATGAATGAAGCTTAGTCTCAGTTACTCTCCAAGTAGAATATGTA